CGTTGGAGAGCACTGAAGATCAGAGTATTGACCAGGACACATGGGATTTCTGTGATCCGTCGTGCTATTCGCGCGACGGATCGCGGACTCTGCATTAGAAAAATGGGATTTGGACCGACATCTTTTGTAAAATTCCTCATAAAATTGGGAAGGATAAAAACTTGATGCTAGAATATGCGAAACGCAATCCTTTTACGTATAGTTTTTTGGCTAACAGTAGTCATGGAGTAGTGAAAAGAAATGCAGTAATACTGGCACATTACACTGGGATTGGGACGGTTAGTGAATATTGGAATTCAGTAGTATTCAGAGAAAGCTCTGCTGCATCTCGCAGGCGGACGAATCTGCGGTCCACCCTGCCTTTCCTCAAGAAATGGATGATGTGCCATGCAAGTTTTTCACGCATTTGTTAAGTGCAAGAGAAGATATCGTGGATGCTAGACTTCATTAGCTCCGATCGCATCGACTACGTGATTGATGCTTACGTACACGCATTGACTGCTGTTTACCCAAGGTCGCGGTATCAGGTCGGGTGGGATTGCATATTTGTGTGAGTTTTTCCTTTTTTTCACATTCATAAGCGAACTGTCACACAAAATAGATGCTCTGCTCCCATGTATTATCAGGTTGTAGGGAAGTTCTTGCCGTTCTCGACAGCACAAATTTCAAGGCATTTCTACTGACTTTTTGGAGGACTACTACCTTGCATATTACTACAAGGAGAATCTTTGTCCTGTCCGAATTAATTGTCGCTTCCGCTTAATACCTACTGCTTCCACTTTTTCCAGCCTTGAATACAACATGCTCAACAAGAAGATCAGCGTGACTTTCTTCTTCTAACTCGTTTCAGGGCAGAAAGAAGCGCTATCAGCTCATAATATACACTGGTGTGCAAAATTTAAGGTTGGGAGTAACTTTTGCATCATTTCTTACTGCTAGCTAACCTAGGCTGACGAAATTTAGGACACACATAGAAGGAAATGTTGCAGCATAGTGCAGAGGGTTACTGATAGAAACACGCATTAGAACGATTGGCAAAGGCAGTTTTCTTCAAACACGAACACTACAGAATGCGAAGCATGCTCTGCTCTGTGCCTCCATAACGGCCCTAATGCTGGTCAAGAGTTCTTGTGGAGAAGCGTTCCATTCCTCGAACATCCCGACTGACAATTGCTGGGCGTTATTGGCGTATGGATGTGCGCCATAATAGCTCCCTTGAATTCATGCCTTAAGTGCTGTGAGTGGGGAAACCAGACAGGCTCAACAGCGTTCCAAAAGTTTCCCATCTAGGCTGCTCGATGCGCTTTGCACATAATCCTCCATAACTAATGAAAATGGAATCGAAGGCATCGCTGAAAAGATTCACATAAGAGAGGAGTACAGCGTCACAATAATCTCGATCAGAAAGCATTCCGCGATCAGGAGTTGGGAGGTTGGTACGCCCTGCAACTTTATGCCTCCCCACACCATATCGAATGGACTATCAAAACATGTTTAACGATGGTCCTGGGTGCATTACATGTTCCTATTCTCGCCATATGCGGGTAAGTCCAGAATCACTACCACACTCAATTTGCTCTAAACTGGGAAGAGCACGCGTTCCTCCAAATTGGTGGTCCATTTCCAATGTCTCGGTACCTAGCAAATATTCCCGCCGATACGTGGGTTTCAAAGGGTCTTGTAGAGAGGCCATCCCTATACGGTCACTGTGTCACTGTTCAAGCTGGGACCGCGTGCCTTACAATCTGATAAACGTTTTGCAACTACAGTCTGTGACTGACACATGCTGATTCCTGCCTGTTGCAAAGCGTTGCAATCATCTGCTCTGCAGGTGGCTTCTAGGCGGTCTGTAGCAGGCGGTTCTCCGAGCACAAGAGGATATTGAAACAGTGTCTCAGCAAGATGTCAAAATATCCCGAAACCGTAACATATGGGCCCGGCATAAATCGGCCGACTTTTCTCCGCGATACATCATTGCCGTCAACAGCAAAACCGATCCTGCAAAAAAATGAGCTAGCTGGAGTATTGCATCATGCCCCATGACCTCTTAAGCATTAATTCTCTTACCCATTCACTGCTTTTTTTTCAATCCGCTCACATGGTACCTCAAACGAGAAATGCTCTGAAAGTCGCAGTGGACAGACCTTCCGTCAAGTATTATCTTCTCTAGAACTTCAGAGTATCTTCAGCGAACGATAAGGATCAAAGCTCACTTTTGTTGGAAAGCAAGAGTAGATTGGAAAGATTTCTAGAACGAACAAAAACGGTGTGTTCAAGTCGAAACATGCACATTTGAACCTCAGGGTGCGGAACGGCGAGAATATTTCTTAGAACCTTATAAATATAAGCAGCAATTTTGATGCAAATCTGTAGTTTTTTTTTCTTTGAAGGGGCCTATATCTAGTGTTCTCAGGTTCATCCCGTTGTCTATGCTTCCGACTGGGATTGCGGATCTCATTATGCAAGTGGTTACTGTGCTGACCGGTATTCCAAATCCGCTAGCTCTACAGAAGAAGAATGACAAGACGTTAGTTCAAACTCTGACACATGTGCGCTCATTATGCGTTATAACCTATATATTACTCTCTATCAATAATCTTGAAAAATCGGAAGTCAAGGATAGTGTTTGATGGTACTTCCTGTTTGATCGCTCAAACATACCCCATCGATCGAGATACTAGGGCTTAGCCCATCGATTCTTATTGAGTTATAGCAGTGGGCCTCACTTCCCAGGAACATTTTGCGCGTACCGTATTCGAAAAATTGGCGTGCCCACATGACTAGCGTTGAACCACCCGCTATAATATGCGCCATTGAAAAAACTGAATTTACGACAGAAGAGAGATCAACATATGTTTTCAGAAAGTAACGCAACGTATTCACAACGAGTTCTTTCGTCCGGACTGAATGGTCAGTGGCCGCCTCAGAATCCATGGCTCTCCAATTATCCAATTATTTGTTGTGAAATGTTTTCGCCTATAGCAATTTCTTTGTCTTTACTGGACCTATTTCTCATTCATTTCATCTCTCTTTGCCTACCTCCCTTCTCATTGTGCAGGTATTCAAGTTTAACGAAGAGAACAGATTTTCAATGAAGACCATGATGGTACAGGATTTCATAAGTTTCAAGTGTCTTTCGCAAAATATGGCAAGTCATTAAATATTGCGTAATTGCACGGATTTTTTCCTCTCAAGATATAGGCATCTTGTTGTTTGAGGAAACCCCATTATACAATATAAAGGCTGCGCACGAAGCGTGAGCGGACGTCGACCAAGGCATCGAATGAGGAAGTGCTGTATTCAAAATTGGCTATACTGCGATGTGTAGGAAGGAAAAATGTTATGTTTCGGACTCGTACAGGCGCTCATCCCAGCAGCGGTTTTCCGGGATAATTGATACGTCAAAAATGACCATCATTGTGGAAGTGGTTGTCGACGATCATTTCACCAAATACACGAGTAGATGCCAACACGGAACTACGAGGAGGCAGTTATTATATTTTCCATGACAGTGGCATGCCTCACGCGGCTCGAATTGTTCGACAGTATTTCGACCGGAAAAACGATGAATCCTGATTCAATCGCTATTCAGCATTCGTGAGACTTTGAATGTTTTGTTCAATTGAATAGCTACAGTATTACTTGATGTGCAGCTCAACAGCAAGCGCTGCGATAGATGGTTCATCACCAAAACAGATGTCAACAGCATTTCATTCATCTGTGCTCGTAGAAGAATTTCAACTGCCTAAAGTCTCGATGGTATCTGGACACAATGAAAGACTAAACTGAACGCTAGAATATCACCTGTTCGAATATCTGTTAATCTAACCTTGCACATTTCAGACCTAACCTATTGTTTTAAGTCAACTGCTAATGTCTGACCAATCTTCCTGTCAGATTTTACTCGCCATGTCTCACGAGTTAACGATGTTCTATAATCTTATTTGACAAATGACCTAATAAATGGAAAAGACAAGACAAGTTTCCTGCCATAGGTACAACCTCGATTATCGTAAACATAAGTGAGTAGAGAGAAGCGCCTTGGGCTAATATCCACGGCCATGTTCAGTGAAACTTGGTACAGTTCGTTACGAAACACAGTGATCTGGCCGCACTTTATTATGGTGGAGGTACTATCTAGCACCTCGCCTCGACGAGCTTACCTCCCTCTAAAAGCACGGAGACACTATTTCCTGATACGCTGAATACACAATATTACCTAGCGCCGATCCGCTTCGGATTTCCAGGCTTGAGAGTCTTACAACATCACGATTTCACAAACTTGGTATTTGAATAAGGCTGAGTTTAGTCGAGAACCCGCCGATGTGAGATGTTCCGAAAGCGCAATGATGATCATTATTTGTGAGGTGAAGTTTTATAGTTTATATGTTATAGTCTCAAAAACAGTGCGTTATGATCCATACATGAGCAACCCGCGACGTCGGGTCCAATTTCGGAATTTTTTACGTGTGTTCCTTTTTGGTAGTCTCGATTGCGACTTCCTCTAACACTTATATTATACTGCACTTTATATCTGTGTAATACTTTCATGTGTGTGTTGTTCAGTGTGGTATGTATAATAATGGACACTATTACAAACTAAACCAAAACGCACTGCTTCAAAGATCTAAACTTCAACTTCTCTTTATGATAAAAAAATTTATCAATATACTAAAATATCTCATGTTGAACCTTTATCTTGTTCGAGCTGAAGGATCCAGTTCCTCCACCAATCAGTAAGCAGAACGCAAGATAAGAGCAGTGTGGATTTTGGAGCGGAGGCTGCTTTCTTGGTCTGGGTCGCAGTTATCGCATCGGCTTATGAGTATGTGCAGAAGCGCACGCTCAGGTTCCATTGGGTTTCTTTCGTTTGTTTTCCTGCGTGAACATTTCCCTTCCGTTTAGTTGGATTAGCCTTGGGCAGGGGAGGAGAAAATCTAGGGTGCATAGCGAGTTTCATCTTCTCCTAAGTTCCTGCCTCTTCCCAGGCCTAGTAGTGAAATATGCCCTATCCTTACCATATATTGTGTAAAATGGCACCAAAAGTACACATGAGAAACCGACCTATCATTCCACAAGAGGATATTGCCTTGCTATTTCGTTCTACAGTAAATACAACGTTGCATCCTATTGCACTGCCATTTCCACACCGCATCGTGATTATCCCAGAGTGCTCCTTTCATCTTTTTGATGGCACGCTTCATATGAGACCATGTAGGCTCTACTCTTTGAGTGTGCAACCCATTGTCCTGGATCAACAAAATTCTCAGTATGGTTGACCGTTTCATGTACAAATCCAATGTTTTTGATGTTATTGGCTTCTTTCCAATAGTCCGTGTGAATAGTTGTGCCTGGGAGAATATGCTTCAGCATAATCATATCGAGAGTTGCGGAGTCGCCCAAACCAATGATTTCCACGACTATACGCTTAGAGCCGTTCTCACTGCCTCCAACAATCCAATCGCCCCTAACCAAGCTTCCTCGCCGGTACATCCTTCAATATGTGTCTCATCGACTTGCAAAATTGTGTTAGGGTTCCAATTTCAATAGGTTTATCTTTCACTGTGGATGTTTCCATTACGACATCACGGAACCATTGGTCCCATTGATACAGGGTTCAACGCCACATTCATTCGCGCGTGTTTCAAAGGATACCATGTCGTTGAACGAAGAGAAATGATGAATAACGAACGAACCAGAAGCAGCTCTT